TACTAACTTAACAACTGCAGTGATTCACAACTGTGACAAGAAAGATGGTAAAATGGGGCAAAACTCACTTAACAACTATCTCAGCAACAGAAATGCTGGGCTCAATTGCGGTCATAAGTCGAGCCTCTAAATGCCCAACTGGTTCTGTTCTGTCCTAATACAAATATCTAAACTCCTAGAAAGATGACCCAGCAGTTTCCATAACCAAATTATAGGCATAATGTATAAGGCTCACAAATTTACATTACCTGCAAGGCAGGAATGATGAGAACTGTAAAATAGAATGTGAGATTTTAGGAAATAAAATTATTTTTTTTCATCCTGTAAGACATAGTTATGTATAGAAAATAATAATCAGTGTAAAATCAGTCTGTAGGTGACAAGACCATTAAAGGCATAGGTATAAAAATTAGATTAGATTAGATTAGATTAGATTAGGATGGATGGATAGATAGATAGATAGATAGATAGATAGATAGATAGATAGATAGATAGATAGATGATAGATAGATAATTATTCACCATACGGGTTGGGTACAATCCTAATTTTTCAAGCACAGTTCTTACTTGATGTGTTAGCAATCCAGCTTTGTGTCAGACTAATTTATATAGCTAATCACTGTCAAAGTGGTGTTAAAAATATAACTTTTTTGGAACAAGCTCCTAATTATATACTTGAATTCATCCTAAGAAACTGCTTAGGTTTATGTGCTGTGTTCTTTCAACTATTATTTGTTGTGGAAACCTGCCATTGGGAAGATTCACAACAAACCAGCCAACTCAAAAATGCTCACCTTAGCTCTCTTTAACTGATGCAGTTCAGATATATTGGGACTGCAATTCCCTAGTCACTCCTATGCTGGCCAGAAATTCTCGGGTTAGCAGTTCCAACATGCCTGGAGGGCAACAAAGTACAGGAAATCTGGCTTATAACATGATCTAGATGCACACCCACTAACATCCTTCAGTGCACTTGAAGGAAGTAAGAAAAAAATGAGTTTTTAAAATGATGTGCTATTTAAACTATACCATCCTGAACAGATATGGTGTGTCTTTGCGTGGGTGGTAGATAGATGAATGCTCATAAAACAAACGTGCCACGAAATGTTTAAGCATGAAGGGCTTAGCCTAATATCCCAGCTTGCAAATCTGCCTTCTTTCAGGATACAGCTCCCTTTCACCTAACTTGCTTAAAACAGATAACCAGAGTTGGCTTGTTCTTTTTTCTTCACCAATACTGGCCATTTTGTTTTCAGTGGCTTAATTTTGACTACTATGTAGAGCAGGGGTGTCAAATTCGCGTCATCACGGTGTCATCACGTGACGTATCGGGACTTTTTCCCCCTTCGCTAAACCAGGCAGGGGCGGGGCCAGCATGTGATGCATCCGGCCCTTGGGCCACAAATTTGACACCCCTGGTATAGAGTATTATGGGGTCCCTAACGCCCGGGTCGTGGCCCATTACTGAGCCATGGTCTATTTGAACTGGGCCATGTGAATGGCGGGCCAGTGCATAAGTGCAGATCAACTTGCATGAGCAACAGGCCAGTGTGCATGCACAGGCATGCACAGCTCAACTTATGCAAGTCAACCTGCACATGCATGTGCTTGCCTGCTGGCCCACTGCTTTTGCAAATCGAGCTGCACATGTGCACCGGTGCTGGCCTGTTGATTATGTGTTTCAGTTCCACTCTTCTCCTGCAGCCGGGCTCCCAAGCTGCAAAGGTTGGGGATTATTGTTGTATTTTACAAGTCTGTTTAGGCCAGGCCTGTCAAACTGGCAGCCTGTATGCATCATGTGCAGGCCACGCCCACCTGGATCTGCAAAGGCAAAAAACATCACAGTACATCACATGATATGGTCAGGATACCCATGGTTTAGGCAGAGCATACATAGTTATGCTTTGCCAAGTGACGCAGTGGCTCAGTAGCTAAGACACTGAGCTTGTTGATCAAAAGGTTGGCATCCCTAGTGCTGCATAACAGGGTTAGCTCCTGTTACTTGCCCCAGCTTCTGCCAACCTAGCAGTTCGAAATCATGTAAAAAATGCAAGTAGAAAAATCGGGACCACTTTGGTGGGAAGGTTCTGTGAACCTTTGGTATTTAGTCATGCTGGCTACATGACCACGGAGACGTCTTTGGGCAGCGCTGGCTCTTCAGCTTATAACAGAGATGAGCACTGCCCCTACAGTCGGGAAATGACTAGCATATATGTGCGAGGGGAACCTTTACCTTAATAGTTTGATGTGGAAATGATCTCAGTGAGTTTAATAATAATAGTTGGCTAGTTGTTTTTAATTGCTGGTGAGATTTGGTAAATATTTTCATTTATATATTAAGGACAAGGTATTTTCAACCAGCTTTTGGAAACAGAATAATTTAATTAAGGATATTCAAAATTGATTTTTTTTCTAACAAGCAGGAAACCAATTTGGCTCTAGCAAAATAATTCCCAACTCTACCTTCTAGAGTCTGGTACATTTATTTATTTATTGTTTGTTTGTTTAATTTATACAGGTAGTCCTTGACTTATGACAAGCAGGCCCCAAATTTCCATGCTGTGAGGGAGTTGTTAAGTGCATTTTGCCCCATTTTAAATCTTTCTTGCCACAGTTGTTAGGTGAATGTCTGTAGTTGTTAAGTTGGTTTACATGGTTGTTAAATGATTCTGGCTTCCAGATTGACGTTGGTTGTCAGGTTGCAACAGGGGATCACATGATCCTGGGATGCTGCAACTGCCATAAACACAAGCCAGTTGCCAAGCATCTGAATTTTGATCATGTGATCATGGGCATGCTGCAATGGTCATAAAAATGAAGGCCAGAGAAGGAATAATGGATGAAAACTGAACCAGGAGAGATTCAACCTGGAAATAAGGAGGGATTTTTTGACAGTGAGAACAATCAATCAATGGAACAGAAGTTGCCTCCAGAGGTTGTGGGAGCTTCATCACCAGAGGCTTTCAAGAAGAGATTGGATTCCCATCTGTCAGAAATGGTGTAGGGTCTGCTTGAGTGGGGGGTTGGACTAGATGACCTACAAGGTCACTCCCAACTCTGTTAATCTGTAAATGGTCATAAGTTACTTTTTTCAGTACCGTTGTAACTTCAAATAGTCACTGAACAAATGACTGCAAGTTGAGGAGTACCTATATGCTGCTCGTCTGCCTGTAAGAGAATAACAGAATAAGAAGAGTCGAAAGGGACCTTGGAGGTCTTCTAGTCCAACAAACTGCACAAGCAGGATAAATGGCTGTCCAACCCCTTCTTAAAAATATCCAGTGATAGAGCACCCATAACTTCTGTAGGCAACCTGTTCCACTGATTAATTGTTCTCACTGTCAGGAAATCTCTCTTTAATTCTAGGTTGCTTCTCTCCTTGATTAATTTCCATCCATTGCTTCCTGTCCTGCCTTCTGGTGCTTTGGAGAATAGATTGATCCCCTCTTCTTTGTAGCAGCCGATTGAATATTGGAACTATCCTGTCACCCCTAGTCCTTCTTTTCCCTAGATTAGACCTACGGAATTCCTGCAACTATTTTTGGTATGTTTCGTCTCCAGCTCCCTAATCATCTTTGTTGCTCTTCTCTGCACTCTTTCCAGGGTCTCAACATCTTTTTAATATTGTAGTGACCAAAACAGGATGAAATACTCCAAGTGTAGTCTTACCAAGGCATTATAAAGCGGTGCTAACATTTCAAGTGATCTTGATTCTGTCTCTCTAATAAATAAGGAATCCATTGGCTTTTTTTCACAGCTGCAGCATCCTGTTGGCTCATTGATAGTCCAAAAGGACTCCAAGATTTCTCTCATAGGTACTGCTATTAAGATAGGTTCCACCTATTCTATTCCTGTACATTTGGTTTTTCTTGCCCAAGTATAAAACCTTACTTTTCTCACCATTGCATTTTATTTTGTTAGATAGGGCCCAATGTTCAAGTCTGTCAAGATCAAGATCCTTCTGGGATGTTGGCTATTCCTGCCAGTTTGGTGTTATCTGCAAATTTGATGAGTTCCCCCTTCTGTTCCCTCATATAAGTAATTTATGAAGGGCCAAGACAGAACCTTGAGGAAACCCGCTGCTTTCTACCCTCCACGTAGATGCGGTTCCATTGAGGACTACAGATTGAGTGCTGTTGGTCAGCTAGTTATGAATCCATCTGGTGGCAATGCTGTCTCTCCCACATTTTTCTAACTTACTAAGAAATAGGTTGTCCTGTACTTTGTCAAATGTTTTACTGAAGTCCAAGTATAGTCACGTTGTCAAAGAATGAAATATGATTTGCCTGGCATGATCTGTTTTGGACAAACCCATGGTTATAACTTTGCTTGCTTCTGGTTATAACTTTGCTTGCTTCTGGATGTTCACAGATTTATTGCTTGACTTCTTTTTTCCAGGATCTTTCCAGGTATTGATGACAGGCTGATTGTTCTATAGTTTCATGAATTCGTTTTTAAAGAGGCAACTCTGACAATTATCTGCAGAAGAAACACCAGTCACATTTTGGGAGAAAAGACTCCAAAGATAACAGTTTGAAAAATCACCAAGTTGAGATGCTACTTTCCTCAGAATGTTACCTGTAATTTCCTCCTCTCTCTTTTGTTCTTGCGATCCCTATGAAAACTTCTCCTTTAAACAACCGACCTGCGTTAAGTGTGGATGGGAAAAGACTGCAAACGAAACGGGGGTGGGAGGGTGGGGAAGACAGCCAGTACTACTCAATCCGCAGGGAGAGCGTCCAGGCATCTCCGCCGTCCCACAAACCTCGCTCTGACTTAAGCTAGAGGCATGCTTGTTTAAAACCCTGGCGCTAATTTCAATTCAAATCCCACCCTTGGGATGGCCCCTTCCTTTCCTTGAAAGTAGCGCCTGCGGTCTCCGGGACCGGCCGCATCTCCACCCTCGAGAGGTGCAAGCTGAAGGTATCTAACTGCAGAGCTGAGGCGAGAGGGAACTCCTTCGTGCTGATGTCAGGCGTGGCGTAGAGGCTGGATCGCCAGAGGGTGTGATTGCGTTTGGCTGAGCTTCAGACAACCCCTCTATCTTCTCCGGCTAACTTCCCGGCGCTGAGGCGGGCTGCGGGAACAAGGTACCGTGCGGACCCTCCCGCTCGCTTTCTCTTTCTCTCCCTCCCTCTCTCTCTCTTTCACCCCCTTCAGTCGCCTTCCTCGCTCGCTCGAGGACGAGGGCTGCGGGAGCGCGCCGAAGGAAAGGCGTCCAACCCGGAGTACTTGTCGGGGGCGGGAAAATAGGGGTCGGGGGAGGGGGCGAAGTTGGAGACGATGCAAAGCGCGGGCGTTTTCGGGACCGGCCGGGGGCGCCTTTTGGCGGCAAAAGGGACTTCTTGAGGCAAGGCGTTCGAGCCCCAGATTGCCCTTTGGGCTGTCGCCGAAATAGTTGCGAGGGGCTGGAAGGAAACCTGTGCAAAGGGTGTGGGGAGCTAATTTGCCCTTCCCGCTTCCAACTCTTTTTCGCTCGCTCGCCCGCCGGTCTTTCGGGAGGAGGGAGGGAGCGCGGCGGCGCGCGCGTTTGCGTTTTGTGTGTCTGCGTTTTGTGTTGTGCGTGGTGTATGTGTGTGTGTGTGTGTGAGAGAGAGAGAGAGACTTCAGAGAGATTGCAATCTAGGAAGGGTTTTTTTTTAAGGAGTTCCTTAAAATATGTATGATAGGCAGGTCCTTGAGGAAGCAAACGGATGGCTTCTTATTTTAGCCGGGAGGGAGAGAGAAAAAGAAAGCGAACTTTGTATGCTTTGAGAGATAGACACGAAGAGAAAAAAAAAAGATGGGTATAGAAACCTTAGGGTACCGTCTCGGGTGATTCACCTCGGACTGCCTTGCAAAAAAATGGCACGCAGTGTTGCCCCAAGAAACGGTGCGAGTGCAAACTTTCTTCGCTTTTCAACCGCCCCTCCCCGCCCTCTTAAGAGGAAGGAAAACTATTTTAATCCAGGCTTGTGGTGGGTTGGCGAGTGCGTCGAGTTGAGTGCTTTTCAACGTGGCCGTTGCCCTGCTGGTGTCAGCGAGTCCTTTGAAGGCTCTGCGGCTTTTATCTGACCTCGGGGAAGGCCTGCTTAGCTTCATTTCCTGTGAGTAAGTGGGCGTTGATTATTTGGATTTATTGAGGATAACATGGCACATAGTGTTGCATGTCTCCGTTTAGTAGCGCAAGTATGGAACATGATTCTGTGTTGAGGATCTGAGCATGCTTGTACTCTTTCCACTTGGCTGTCTCTGCAATGCAGGAGATAATTACCTCCACAATTGGAAGAGGTGCTTGGTATTTTTTCCAACCTAAATAATGGTGAAGTTCCTTCCTAGGGATAAGAAGATAAGTGATGCCCTGCTTGTCCAGATGAATCCCTAGCACATCTTGTGCTGCAATCTGGTCTCACAGTGGCCAACCAGCTGCCCACAGAAGCCCATTAGTCTCCAAGCAGATGGCCTTCAGAGGCAGCCCCATTAAAGTTAATAGCCCTTGATCGCCATGAATTGGTCCAACTGTTTTGAAGGCAGCCAAATCAATTGGTCACCAGCACCAACACATCTTGACTCTGCATACAGTAAGGACCGAGAAAAAAAACCGCCTTTTCTTTTTTTGGTCAGTAGGATTCATGCCATAGTCCACATTACAAATGTGTCAAAGAGTTTTCTTTAGTTTCCTTCCTGAAGACTCTTAAATGAAAATGTGGAAATGTTGTAAGAGACAGCAGTTTTTGAGTAACTACTGTAGCTTGCATTACTCGTCTATAGCCTCTCTGCCAGTCTAAATGATAGACAGCAGTTGAGTTTCAATATACACCTTCTCTCAGGCACCGGGAGAGTCCCTCGACCCCTCCTCACCAGAAAGCTTTAGAAGGAATTTGGGGAATTTGTAACAGAAGGAGCCTTATTCTTTGAGCACTGAGTGAAAAGGCCACAAACTGGTTCAAATGTGTAGGAGCCAATATAATCAAGAGAATCTGAGAACTGACAGTTATGGTCTAACTACCTGTTCAGGTCTATAATCGAGACTTTTACTTGCAACCACAGAGGCAACTGGAGAGAATACCCAGAAGCTAGCAGGTTCCAGCTCTCTGGGGGCCATGGGAAATGGCATCAATTTGATCACCTCAAGGTATTTGTAAAAGAGAGGAAACCTGATGCCAAAGTGAAGGCCAAGTAAACCAGGTTGTATCTTCAAATCATTGGCCAAAAAAACCCACTGTGCGGTAAAGATTTTCTCAGTCCACCCATAAGGCAAGTGGATGTGAGATACTGGAGTCTATCGTGTACGCTCAGTACTTTGTCAAGGCTCAAGCAGAAACAGCCTTTGTTAAACATTTTTTTCCCAGTGAAAAAAAATGGAATTTTGCAATGGTGAAGAATCATTTGTATGCCATGCTGTTTAGGAATGGCTGAATAGAATACATACGGAAGAGCCACCAAAAAGGCTCATCAAAAATTAGCTTAGAATGGACTTCTTGATCCTGACATAAGGGATCAGCTGGAGTAGATGAACACAGTTCAAATACAGGCTGAAGGGGGAATGCCAAGTAACTCTGGTAGCAGAGAACAGGCCCACCTACCAAGGATCCCAACATCAGTTAGGTGGCAGAAAATTCTAAGGTTTCAGTAGCATGAGCCTCCTCAGTCATCTTTACCACCTATGTCTGGCAAAGAAAGACAATTTTGTGGTAGACCAATATAGCAAGCTTAATAAGAAAACAGCTGAACAGCTCTCTTGTGCCTTGCACTGGTGATCTGCTGGAGCAACTTTGGACAGCCAGATACATTTGAGTTGGCCAAAGGATATGGACAAAGATATTTGTCAGAAAGTGGTACGAAGAAGACAGCCTACATCGTGCACCACAACTTGTGATGTATACAAGTAACATTTTTCTGCTTGGTCTTTCCTAAATCTGCTTCCTGAGCTGCTCAGGGATTTCAACAAGTTTCTTCTTTTGGTGCCTTCAAATCAGCCTTGATTCCTGGCAACTGCCTGGAGAGATTCCTAGAGTTTTCTTGGCAAGATTTCAGAATGGTAAGATGCCATTATACTCTTTCCTATGAACGAGAAGGCATGACTGGTTCAAGGTCACCCATCTGGCTTTGTGCCTAAGATGGTACTAGAACTCACAGCCTCCCAGTTTCTAGCCAGGTGCCTTAACCACACCAAACTGGCTGTCCCTAAATCACTGTGTCGTGGCATGTTCAAATAATGTGGCCATCTTTTCACCCACCTGAAGGCATAGCTGGAACAACTAGAAATGATTTCCCCACTTATCAGGAATACAAGGTTCATTATGCAGATCAAGATGTTCACAATTGAGACACAAGACAGTTGGATGGGTCATTTTGTTATGTCTCCTTTGATAGGGAAGGAACAGGCTATCTAGGAATGTTCTGCCCCAACAAGATAAAGCAGATGGGACAGTACAGTACGACAAAGGGAAAACATATTTAATTTTACATGTAATAGTGGCAGTAGGAATTATGTTTGCACAACAATGGAAAAATGAAGAGATCCCTACAGATGAAAGTGTTATAAAAAATATTAGAATGTGCTGAGATGGATAGATTAACATTTAAAATAAAAGGAAGAAACAGAATATTTCCTGACATGGGACTTGTTTTATCAATGGTTAACTGAAAGAATCAGAAATTAGAATTTAATAAGATCTAAAAGATAATAAAACTTTTATATTGAAAATTTTGTAAGATGGATAAACTAATTGTATTACCTTTTTGCAATTATTATGTTTGTTATGCTTATGATTTATATTGATTAATATGGTATTTCTACTTAAAATTATTTTTTCCAGGCAACACGCTGTTCAGATTGATATGGAATTTTTAATGTGATATAAAAAGATAATGTATTAATAAAACATATATTTAAAAAAAGAAAAAGCAGATGAGGTTTTTCTTGGGATTACGTAATTACTGTAGGAGTTTATGCCAAGGAAGTTACTCACAGGGCTGCTACACCATAATATGATGGTATAGTCCAGGGGTGCCAAACACACATGGTCACAGTGGCGTCACGGGACATATCGGGACTTTTTCCCCCTTCGCTAAACTGGGCGTGGGCGTGGCCAGTGCATGATGCATCTGGCCCACGGGCCGTGAGTTTGACAGCCCTGGTGTGGACTGAGGAGTACCAGGTTGCAATTGGCTCAGCAGTTGTCTGATGTTATGAGTTCTAGACTTTGCTGTGTTAGCCACTGATGCCTCAGCAAGGAGTAGTGAGACAGAGTTAATGCAGGCAGTGCAAGTGAATCATGCTCTTCATCTGGTAATCTCCAGATGATAAAATGTGAGAGAGGAAATCACATTGGTTTGCATATGAAAAGGAATGCGATGCCATCGTTTGCACCCTTGAGAAGCTAAATGCTCCCCAAATCTATGGGGCCATTGTTTTGAACTCAGAACTGTCCACCTAACATTAAAGTGGCTGAAGCAGAGTGGTATTCAGCAGGTTCTGACCAATTCTGTAGAATTGGTAGCAGAAATTTTGAGTAGTTCAGAGAACCGGCAAATCCCACCTCTGACTGGAGATTTTTACAGTATCCTTCCCCTGCCACGCCCACCAAGCCATGCCCACAGAACTGGTAGTAAAAATATTGAATTCCACCACTGGGCTGAAGTATACCCAACACAAAATGTTTGTATATGGAGTCTTTCTCTACAGAAGTGTGATTTCAAGATTAAATATATTCCAGGGAGGATGATCACACTGCTAGATGTGTTGCCCAGGAAATCAATAACTCATAGTGGAATATAGAAGAAAGGTTGACCAAATAATGGAACAATAGCACTTATAAATTATCCCAGTTCATTTTCTCTGTCTAATGTTCTAAGTCAGGGTGTCAAACTTGTCGCCACATGACGTATCGTGACTTTTTTCCTCTTTGCTAAAATGGGTGGGCGTGGCCAGCACATGACGCATCCGGCCCACAGGCCGTGAGTTTGACATCCCTTTTGTAAGTGTTACCATGATATTCTTTCTCATGAGAACTTTCAGGAGATGTAAGTTGTTGGGGTTTTTTAAACCAGCTTTTTCTCCCTAGACTATTTTTAAAACTAGTGTTTTGAATAACCAGCCTCATTG